AATTTCGTGCACCAGGCCTCTAGTTTATATATATAAAAGCCCAAGTGACCATTACAACTGGATAACCAGATGACCAGACAGCAGCTATGATGCGCACTGACCACCGGGGGGCAGATGCTCAATGCAGGGGCTGCCCCCTGGTGGTCAATGTGCTCCCACAGCTGACCTCCCGTGGCCAGCCAACCTCCTACGGTCCCTCCCTCCGGCTGGCCCTGATTGGAACTGGGCGAGATGGCCCCGATCGGCCAGGAGGGAACCCACCAATGCACGAATTTGTGCACCGGGCCTCTAGTTGTAATATAAAGACTCATAGTGATTATGAAAAGTTAATCAAGTGAAAAAGATGTATTTACAATCACATATTGCCATTAATATGACTATTTTTAGTAAAGGCCAATTATTTCGTTATATCATCAAGCAACAATAAATGTGTTAGACAAATGACTGAGGTAAGTTAGTCAAGCTGATAGGTGTGCATGTGTTTATAAGTTATAAAGGCTCAAACTGCAAGAAAATGTTTGCCACTCTGCCATACTTTTAAAAATTTATTTTTTTATTGAATTTTAGAGAGAGAGGAAGAGAGAGAGAAACATTGACAGGCTTCCTCCTACATGTTCCCTACCAGGGATTGAGCCTGCAACCCGGGCATGTGCCCTGACTGGGAATCTAGCTGGCAACCTTTAGGTGCACGGGACTATGCTCAACCAACTGAGCAACACTGGCCATGGCTCTGCCATTGTTTTGAAAACCCCAATCAGTTCATATCACAACCAGGGGTATTTTTCCTGTTGACTTCCCTGGTTTGCCATTTATTCTCTTACTAGAGGCCCGGTACACGAAATTTGTGCACTGGAGGGGGGTGTCCCTCAGCCCAGCCTGCACCCTCTCCAATCTGGGGTCCCTCTCACAATCCAGGATTTCTGGCTCCCAACCGCTCTCCTGCCTGCCTGCCTGATCACCCCTAACCACTCCCCTGCCAGCCTGATTGATGCCTAACTGCCCTCCCCTGCTGGCCAGTCGCCTCCAACTGCCCTGCCCTGCAAGCCTGGTTGCCCCCAACTGCCCTCCCCTGCTGGCCCAGTCGCCCCCTACTGCCCTCCCCTGCTGGCCCAGTCGCCCCCTACTGCCCTCCCCTGCTGGCCCAGTCGCCCCCTACTGCCCTCCCCTGCTGGCCCAGTCGCCCCCTACTGCCCTCCCCTGCTGGCCCAGTCGCCCCCTACTGCCCTCCCCTGCTGGCCCAGTCGCCCCCTACTGCCCTCCCCTGCTGGCCCAGTCGCCCCCTACTGCCCTCCCCTGCTGGCCCAGTCGCCCCCTACTGCCCTCCCCTGCTGGCCCAGTCGCCCCCTACTGCCCTCCCCTGCAGGCCTGGTCCCCCACAACTGCCCTCCCCTGCTGGCCTGACTGCCCACAACAGCCCTCCCCTGCCAGACATCTTGTGGTTGCCATCTTGTGGCCACATGGGGGCAGCCATCTTGTGCGAGGTCGTGATGGTCAATTTAGGCATATTACCTCTTTATTATATAGAATTTCTTGAATTTTAGCAGATCCCAGAATGTGTATATACTTTTTCCCCAAAAGCCTCCACTATGAATAATTCAATTATCACTTTAGTCAGAGCAGCAGAAAGCACAAATTGACTGTTTCTTAATTTAAAATTCTCTATTAATGGCACCCCATTTCCTGATCCACAGCCTAGCTTTCCTTGTAGATCTGTTTTCGTATTGTGAGCTATCTACAATTGTTAAACTTTTATATGTACAACAGACCTAACATGATCTGAAATTATTTAGATAAGACAGCTTGGAATTGTCACTTCATAGAAATGTTATAAAAGAAATATTTCAGGTCTCACCTCTTTCTTAGCTTTCACCCTAAACATTTTCAAAGTTTACTCTGTGGCTATGACACTGAGGTCAGTCTGCCCAAAGGGGGAGCTATATACTGCTAGTAGTAATTGAGATAATTTTAGACGTTACACAAACATTTTTATTTTAATAGAAACATATTTATATTTCTGATGGTATCAGAAATTATACCCATTGAATTATATTTACAAAATAGCCAGAAAACTCACACTAATTGGTCCTAATTGGTCAGGAAAAGAATATGCACATTTGGCAGGTCTAAGAAACAATGATTTAGACTAAAATGCTGTGTATTGTCTCTGCATTTTTACCATTCTTACTAGGATAGAAAACGGTCTTACCTGAGAAATCAACAGCACAGACACCATACTGGTGGTAGCCCTTTAATATAGACAATGGTTTAATGGTCTCTGTATCCCATATGTGAATTGAGGGATCCCTACCTACCTACAATAGAAAGAATTATAAGTTATTTTATACAAATTATTTATTTTCATATCTTTCTAAGAGGAAATACAACAGATTTTATAGTATTTTTTGTGTGCTATTGACATTTATCAAACGAAAAACATAAATTAGACTGTATCTGTGACTGTTTTTCTGATGTTTGTTGAAGAGCTAATGAGGCTAGGCTCAGTGTTTCTAGCAATATCCTAGGACTATGTGACTCCTAAATCTTATCTTATGCTTCACCAATAAAGATAGTGTGACCGGGCACCTACTATTGGCAGTGTTCCTATGGGAGATATAGTTAGCACTAAGATATTAAGGTAAAGTTTGCACACTCAACTGTGTGCAACAAGGTATTTTCACACTGTGGGACAAGAAGATATTTTCAGTTAAATAAGAACATCTGGTAATATATGGTTAATGAAGGTGAAAATGTTGGGAAGAAAATCATGGAAGAGATGATACTTGACTTGGGCCTTGCAGGTCTTGAATAAAAGAGAAGCAAGCACTTCGAGCCTCGTACAATGCTGTAAGCAGGGATCAGAGGGGTTAAAGCACCAAGCAGGTACACAAGGCTCTGCATAAACAATTTCACTGCAGCACTCTATCACCTACCTTTTAATTTGGTTTATGACGTTTGCTAAAGCACAGGAGAACTATCAATCCCCTCCCCGCTCCAAAGAAGTGCCTTTATTTATTTACCGAGCTTAGGAAAGGAAAAGAAACTAGAAAAAGGAAATTTCAAAACAGGTCTTCAGTGAGGGCCCAGTGCAGTGAGTGGTGGGTCCAGCTGGAGTCTTGCCCTCACTGGTGGTCACTTCCTGGGTGAGAGAACAGTTCTCCCCCAGTCTCTCTACTTGTCCCCTTTGGGCCCTAGCGACTGGCCCAAACGACTTCTCTCTCGGTCAGCCCTGTCGCCCTGCGTCAGCTTTCATCGTACAGAATTTCATAATTGCCAAGAACTTCCTTTTGGGGGGACTTGCTCTACTTAAAGTTTGGAGTTTCACCATTAGGGACCACAACGTTGAGGGTGTTGTTAATCTGGTTATACTTAAGGATGTGATCCTGGAGGTGAGAGATGGCCACATGCTAACCTCGATCGGCCAGGGCTTCAGTCCGTTGTCTATGAGGAGCCATATAGGATGATGCCAGTTGCCCAGTCCCCCACCCAAATTATATCCTAGGAAGTATATTTACACAGTGTTTAAAGCTGGACAGAATAAGGGCTTTACTACTTATTAGTTTTGAAAATTATTTCATTTCTTTAATCCTAAAATGCATTTGTACACTGGAGAAAGTGGTTTCACTCTCCTTGAGCTGAGAATAAAATAAATATACTTTAAGAAACTAGTAAAGTTCTGACATACAGTAAGAATCTATAAACATTACCCCTTTTCATCCTTCTCTAAGAATGTCTATATAGAGAGGTATCAGTTAAGAGTTATCTTAGTGCTTTTTATTTCAATATTCCTGCTTTGTACTTTGTAAACTTGAAGAGGTGCCTATCATGGTTGTAAAACAAAAGCATACTGATCCTGTCTGTCATAGAACATTTGTTAGGTAACTTATTATCGTATTTTAGATAACCTAAATAAACTGTATTTCTAGTCTTTATGTTTTCTGTAATTTTTACTCACAAATTTTTAAAAATATCCTCACAGAAAGAAGATAAGCCAGAGCTCTTTAGTTCCAAATGCAAATTAAAATAACAGTAACTAAACCTCTAAGGAAAACTGTAGGGGAAAAGTTAGGGTAGATTTTATTTGTAATATGAAAATAAAATCCCATTCTAAAGAATTCTTCACTATTTTTTTGTTGTTGTTCTCAATCTTCACCTGAAGATTTTTTTCCCATTGTTTTCCAGAGAGAGTGGAAGGGATAGGGAGAGACAGAGAGAAACATCAATGTGAGAGAGATACATCAACTGGTTGACCAGAATCGAGCCCGCAACCCTTCAGTCCACGGGCCAACGCTCTAACCACTGAACCAAACCGGCTAGGGCCGTAATTCTTTACTTTTTATTTCCTAGAATACAAAAGATAGATTTTTAAAAAGTGGATTTACCTAACTTTAAAGCCAAACGAAGGTCTAACCCAGGGGTCCTCAAACTACAGCCCGCGGGCCACATGCAAATACAAATATTGTATTTGTTCCCGTTTTGTTTTTTTACTTCAAAATAAGATATGTGCAGTGTACACAGGAATTTGTTCATAGTTTTTTTTTTTAACTATAGTCCGGCCCTCCAAGAGTCTGAGGGACAGTGAACTGGCCCCCTGTTTAAAAAGTCTGAGGACCCCTGGTCTAACCTATCTGACCTGTGTTAACAGTTTTTCAAAAGGACCTACCTGGCCTGTTGCCACATAGTCTTTCACAGGATGGATAGCCAGGCAGAGAATATCATCATCATGACCCAGGTAAAAGCGCTGTGTGTTCTGTTGTCGATTATAAATGACACCCACTGCTGCCACATGGTACACAATTTCACCAATTTGAGTATAAAACAGATTACTTCGACAGTCATAACCTCTGTAACTAAACATAGAAAACATATAACATGAACTTTGGCCTTTATCTGATAAATATGGACTATATAAAGGAAAAGTAGGTATACCTTTTGGGTCATTCAATTTCTAATTTTATAAGATACTAAGCCATTAAAACAAAATACAAAATCTCAGGTCCCATAAACTTTTATGAATTGCTCTAATTACAAATAGCTAAATCCAAGCTACACTACTGAATTTAAAAAAACTCAAGGTGGAGGTAAATGTATATAGTACACTACTATTTGCATTTAAGTATAGTACTAAATTTGTATATCATAAAACAAAAATAGGTGCTTTTTATAAGTGAAAGGGTACAGAAAAGAATATATATTTGTATATTATCTGTACATGCATAAATATTTCTGGAACTAAGTAACAGTGGTTGTTCTTGGTGCAAGGAAATGATGACTGGAGAGGGGGAGGAAAAGGGGGGGGGGGGGGGGGGGGGGGGGGGGCGCGGGGGAGGACACATTGTTGAACTATGAGAATACAATATATATTCCAAAAATAAATTTAAGTAATTTTAAGATATTATACTCATCTGGAAAAAAGTAGTCAAATCTTCTTAAAATGGTTATTACAGTTCCATTTATAGCAACCTTTCTTTGCACTTCAAAGAAAATCAATTCATAAAATATAACTGCATGGCAATACTGCCTATTACCATGAGAGAAAAAATACTTTTGCTAAATAAATCCTTTTTGAAATTCTTGAAAGCACTATCACTGGGTGAGGAGAAAGAAAAGAGTTGGATTGGAGAATCTGTTGTTCCAGGATGAAAGGTGAGACCTGTACTGCCAAACGTCCTCAGGCAACCCAGAAACAGTATTTTATCGAAATTAAAATTTGAAGGCCAAAATGCTCAGGCCAATTGAATCCACAATATCATTCCAAATCAGACATATGTAGAGGTGATGATACTCTCTTACATTTTACTACTCATTTGTTTAAAGACAAGGGATCCATTTCTATAAATATAAAGCTTTCATAAAACAAATTAATTTTTTATTTAATAGACACTTACACAGTGCTTATTATGTACCAGACAACTTCTAAGTCATAACTATTTACTTATTACTCGTCATCAGAACACTATAAAGTAGATACTGTTATTTCCATTTACAGATGGGGAAACAGAGGCACTAAGAGGTTGTGTGACTTGCTCAAAGTCACACAGCTAATAAATGTAAGCCCAAATTCAAACACATAAATGAAAAACTGTTGTTTTATACCCATGAACAAAGTGTAATCGAATACTATTTCCTGGAGCCCGCTCTCTTCTTTTAGAAGTGCCACTTTTTTGTTTCTCTTTGTATTGTTCTTTAAGCTGAGGTAGATCTTCTTTGTAAACCTTTAAATAATGTAGAAATGTTTTTAGAATATATATTAACAAAGGTTTTCACAGATTCCTAATGTAACTTTCAGACATTGTGTTTACTACTGATTACTAAAGTTTTAACAACTGTCTTAAATAGGAAGGTACTTTATGAAACTTACTTCCTTGGGAAGAACTAATTTATATTTTCTATGTAACACTGACAAGTGCATATTTAATGTTCCATGATTTTTTTGTACTTCTTAAGAGAATATTTTAAAGGGAATAAATAGAAGTGTACTGTGACAAAAAAGCTATAGGTAAATAAAATACAGGCACACTTAATCTATCAAGCACTTACTATCAAAGAACACTTCACAAAAGTTTAACTTCTAAAGAGGGAAAACAAATGGCCACATATTTCTTGGAAAATTAAAAACCACAAAAGATAATAGATGAGTAATCAACAGGGAGTTAAGAGGAAAAAGAAACTAGACTTTTTCAGGGTACAATTACCTGCCGACGGTAAGTGAGCTGTGTCTCTTGTTCAATTTCAGAATCCAGTTCTGGAACATCAGACAGATCTGAATCTGATTCATCACTATTAGAGTCAGCAAGACTTTCTGTAATTTTAAGAAATGAAACATTACTTAAGAAAGATCCATTTTCAAAGCAGCACTGTAAAATTAATGATTAAGAGCTGACTGTGCTGACAAGCCATAAACACTCAGATGAAATTACCCATTCAAGTGACACAGATGTCAGTAAACTGTACTACAGGCTACTTTCCTCCCTACTCACTGCAAACTCAATAGCTCCTTTAAGTACCCGCACTCTCCCCAATGACTGCTACATCAAATTTAAATGTCTGTGCAAATATAAGTGAATACAATCTATAATTAACATGAAAATAATCTAATCTATAATTAGCTAGAAAATACTATGATTAACAGATGAATCGACATTAAATAACTTTTCTTTGGGGAAAAAAAAAACTATATACAGAACCTAGATACCCATCTCCCATAGGATACATTAAATGTTTGTTCTGCCAATGTAACTCTCTTCATCCATCATTTCATAGATTAAAATGCAACTAAATCTACTTTGTATTCCAGGCTCTGTGAAATCTGACTTTAAGCATATAGACCTGACAGTCTAATTTAAAATTTCCAGTAATAGAGGAAGATCAAGATGGCGGCATAGGTAAACACCGGAGACTGCTGCCGCAAACAACCACTTCAAAAATACAACTAAAAGACGGAACGGACATCACCCAGAACCACAGGAAGGCTGGCTGAGGAGAGACTCTTCAACTAGAAGGAAAAATAACAGCACACCGAGGCTCAGAGGAGGCGCAGTGTGGAAAAAACTCAGGTGCGGAGGTGCGCGCGCAAAGCGGGCTGGTGGCTGAGAGCGCGGTTGTCGTTTTCGGTCAGGGGGGAGTCTCAGACTCTGAGCTCCAGATACGGGCGAATCGCTGGGGACTCGGACCCAAACGGGAGAAGCGGGAGTGTCTGGCATCAGTTGGAAGGCAGCTTTCCCTCCGAGGTTTGCAGCGGTTCCGGGGGTTCTGAGAATATAGACCTGACAGTCTAATTTAAAATTTCCAGTAATACACTATACCATAAGGCTAGATTACATTTCAACAGTAAAATGTTATTTGGGGATTACTGAAGAGTTATTTGACAGAGAAATTGTCAGGCAGTGAGTACTGCTACTCACCTTGGGGTGCTATGTGAAGAGCATCTTTTAGTTTTCTTTCAGGAATAAATCTCCACTGAAAGACGGCGTGATCTGCTCCACCGATAGAAATAACCCACTGATGATCATGTGACCATCTGACATTAGTTACGTGAGCCGAATGGCCAATATATTTTCTAAACTTGGCCCCTATAACAAAAAATATACCTTTCAATTGATAAACAAATGCCAACACAAAAAACCACCTCAAAAAATAATTTCTATACCTGAACCAATGCATCCTTCTTCCATTATCTTAATTATGATAAAAGGAAAATGTTAATTCAAAATTTGTTGGATAAACAAATATGAGTCTACATCAAGGGATGTAAATCTTTGTTCTACTGATTCACAATATAATTTAATAGGAACCACAGGGCTGGGAGGCATGATCTTACTGCTTTGAAAAAAGCCTGCAAGCCACAAGATCAATTGATTTCATATTAACATATTTGAATGTTTTGCATTGAGGCCTTTGGTCTTAAGTGACATTGAAACCAGTCTACTCCACCCCCCACCACTCTCAGCCCCAGCAGCCACAGGATCCTTTTAAAACTTCAGTCATCAACAAAATACTAGCAAACCTAATAAGCAACATATAAAAAGGATTACACAACATGACCAAATGGGATTTATGCCAGGAAAGCACTGGTTGATTCAACATACAAAAACTAATCAATGTAATATGCCACATTAATCAAAATAAAATATGCCCAGTGGTTGTCCCAACAACTGTCCTTTATGGTCATGTTTAAATCTCTACGTTTTGTATACTATCCTTCAATATGAGTTTGCCTGGTGTTTCTTCATGATTAGATTCAGATGCCATTTTTGGCATAGGCAGTGTTGGGTCCTTCTGGATATATCACTTCAAGGGGCTCCGTGCTATCACTAATGATGCCAGGTGATATCATCTGGTTAAGGTGGTATGCACCAGACTCTGTCAAGTGTAATGGAATTGTTTTACTTTGCGGTGAGCTTTTTAAAAATGTGTAATGGAAACCATTTCTGTGGATCTAAGTTTAGAATACATTCTCCATATCCTGCTTAAATAAATCTGGTATTTGGCAACATATACACAATCCTGTTAAAGCACACTGGGCAGCCCAGCCGGTTTGGCCCAGTGGATAGAGCATCGGCCTGTGGACTGAAGGGTCCCTGGTTCGATTCCAGTCAAGGGCACATGCCTGGGTTGTGGGCTCGATCCCTAGTAGGGGGCATGCAGGAAGCAGCCAATCAATGATTCTCTCTCATCATTGATGTTTCTATTTCTCTCTCCCTCTCCCTTCCTCTATGAAACAAAAACAATCAATCAATCAATCAATCAATAAAGCACACCGGGTATATAAGGTTTGGCTTCATTTTGATAACATTTTAAAAAAAAACATTAAACAAACAAACAAACAAATAAATAAATAAAGCACACTGGATATATAAGGTTTGGCTTCATTTTGATAACATTTTAAAAGTTTTATGTTAAGTTACAGAAGGCCTGCATTACTTATGGATGCACTTTCACATGCATCTAGGAAGCGAACACCTCATAGGCAGGGATCAACAACATGGCATAGCTGGCAGCACCTGGAACTCACCACTTTAGAGGCACCACAGAAATAATCACCCTAGGCTTTGAGGAAAACTGGGCCCTTATGTTGGAATCAATGGACTGCATATTTGAATAAAATGACTTCAGCTGTTCCCATAATCACCTTTTACTAAAACTGCATTTAACATTTGCCCAAAGCTTTTAACAACCAGATTAAAATTATTACTGCATCTGCTATAGATGGTAATGCTCTAGAAATACACTCACTGCACCTAATATAAAGCCCCATACAACAGGAGAGAGCTCTTTGTAAATTCAAACCTCTAAAAATTTTGCTTTCCCTGAGTAGCAAGTTGGTTTCCAGGAAGCTCACATTTCATTTTGATATTTAACTACTATTGTTTCCTTTATTTCTTTTTTACTGATGGGAGAGAGAAACACTGATTCGTTGTTCCACTTATTTACGCGTTCATTGATTCTAGTATATGCCCTGACTGGGGAATCAAACCTGCAATCTTGGTTCATCAAGATGACGGCCAAACTAAGTGAGCAATCCAGCTGGGGGCCTACTGTATTTTTTTTATCTGGTTTTAATACTATGGTATTTGCTCTGGTACTAATATCTTATTCATACAATTATTTTAGTACTTATGGGCCTGTTATAAGCTGACTCAAATACTTTATGGAACAAGGCATGAAATAAATGACAAATACAGAATTTCATTTATTCCCCAGGACTATGAAAAAAATGATTAATATCATCATTTTAGAAGATACCCAAGAAAAAGAGATGATATATAAAAATAACCCCTTACATCTAAAGAGCAAAATAAAGTAATGAAACAGGAACAGACTCATAGATACTGAGATCAGACTGACGGTTGACAGAGGGGAAGGGGGTTGAGGGACTGGGTAAAAAAGGTGAACGGATTAAGTGCAAATCGGTAGTCACAAAACAGTCACAGGGATGTAAAGTACAGCATAGGGAATAGTCAATATTGCAATTACTACGTACAGTGCCAGGTGGGTACTTGAAGTACCGGGGGGGACTACTTTGTAAAGTATATGACTGTCTAACAGTTAGACTCTAACCACTATGCTGTACACCTGAAACTAATACAAACAATATTAAATGTAAACTAGAATTGAAAAATATTTTTGTTAATGCTCACCTGAGAATATTTTTTCCCATCGATTTTTAGAGAGTGGAAAGAAGGGAGGGAGGGGGACAGAGAGAGAGAAAGAGGGAGAGAAAGATCAATGTGAAAGAGACACATCACTGCTGCAACCCAGGCATGTGCCCTTGACCAGAAAACTGAATCTGTGACCCTGTGGTGCGTGGGCCGCCACTCTACCCACTGGCCAACACCAGCAAGGACTATAATTGAAAAAAATTTTAAATGACTCAATAAATGAATAAATCACTGCCTTCAAAGTAAAAAAAGAGAAAATAACCCTTATTTTTTCCCCATGACTATAGAAAGTAAACAAATGGCAAACAACATATATTAAGGATTCAAAGGAAAACACACTCGCATGTGAGACCAACCAACAAACGAATAGATTCCAAACTATGACATGAACTTGTACAGTTCACTACTTCATCAGAATTCTTGAGAAAAAGACATAAGAAAATGTCACCTAAAAGATATATGTTCAACGAGTTGCATAAATAAAGATAATAAACCATAAGAAAAGAATAAACATCAGTGTACAGTCTGACAATATGAAGCAATTCTGGAAGTGGGAAGAAAAATGATTCTTAAAAAGAAAGAGATAAAGTATTAGTCCATTCATAATATATGAATTCAAAAATAATTTTCTAATAAAAACATCATGTGAAAAAAAGTTAACATGGCAATAATTTTTAATTAACAAAATAAAAAAGCAGCTAATTTTGTCCATTTTAATGCAACTTCACCAAATTATCAATGCACATATTTTCAAAAATATAAACCCTCTATTTATCTCAAGACTAACTTTTTTGCAAGAACTTAAAAGTCCTATAAAATAGTACTTTGAAAGAAAAATTACCTTTTCTTAAACAAGGATATCGAAATAATTTTACAATTCCATAGTCATCAGCTGTAACTAAAACTTGTCCAATATAGTTTCCATCTACTGAATTTATATCATTAATATCTGAATACTTGGGCCAAATTCCATTTACTTCAAGGCCTGAAACACATGTCCATGAAGCCCAGTGAACACCTTTTGTTTCATCTTTATTTGTCACTTCTTTACCTCCTAAAAAGAAATCAGTCTTAATTTAGTAAGTTATTTCATTTGATTTTTACTAAAGCATAAATTGTACTGATATCATGGTAAACTCCAAAACTTTTAATAGCTTCCCACCCTGGCTAGGTGGCTCACTTGGTTGGAGTGCGGTCCTGTACACCAAAAGGTGGTCAGGGCACATACCTAGGTTTCGGATTTGATCCCTGGTCAGGGGGCATACAGGAGGCAACCAACTGATGTTTCTTGCTCACATTAATATCTCTCCCTTTTTCTTTCTCCCTTCCTCTCTCTGGGAAAAAAAAAATCACTTAAAAAAAAACCCCACATGTCTGTGGTTGAGGAATTAAAAAAAAAATTAAATAGCCTCCCACTCCACTTAAAAATAGAACCCATGAACAGGTTTGTAAATATGGTAAGAAGAGGAGAGAATAAAATGCTAGAAATTTTTAAAAAGCCAAAATTATACTGATTCAGAGACACACACAGATTTAACTGGATGTAGCTTAGAAGGTTCACCATGTGAAGAATAAAACTGAACCCTATTAAAGTCATGCTATAGATTAGTCACAACAGGGTAAGTTAGAAGAAAAAGCAAAAGCTCTAAGAAAGTGACAAATCAAGTATTCAAAAAGAAACCTAAGAAGGTACATGGTTGAGAAAAAGAGAACTTTTGAAAAGGACTGGGAAGGAAAGACGAGTGGGAAGTAATACATTTACATTCGGTAGCAGGACTTTAGGATTGATTCAATGTTCATTACATACAGATTGTTAGTAAACACTACTGAGATGCATTAACTTAATTATGTAGTTGTATCAAATTAATTATTGCAAAAGTGACTAATTCACTATCATACTAAATAAAGTACTAAGAATATTTTGCTCCGTTTTAAATCTCTTTTTAAATCTTTGATGAAAACTTTTTCAAATTTAATTTATTAGCTTATTAATATTGGCAACCACAAATACCCAAACAACTTAAGGTTAGACATTTGTAGCAATTATATAGAAGTTCCACAATAAAAATTGCATTTTTGACTTCCTAATACACACAAGGACTTTACCATATACTGGTACAATACACATGGTATGGAATTCAACAAAGGTTCTAGATCAAGCATGTCAAACACAGAGCTAACATGGGCCAAATAAACGAGGTATGTGGCCCATGGGCCACTAGTTTGACCTGCTTGTTCTAGATCCTCTAAGCCAGCGGTTCTCAACCTGTGGGTCACGACCCCTTTGGGGGTCGAACGACCCTTTCACAGGGGTCGCCTAAGACCATCGGAAAACACATATATAATTACACATTGTTTTTGTGATTAATCACTATGCTTTAATTATGTTCAATTTGTAACAATGAAATTGGGGGTTAATGGGGGGGATGAGGACACATTTGTATTAACTCTTTGTAATATCTTAACTAATAAAAAAAAAAGAAAGAAATTGGGGGTTACCACAACATGAGGAACTGTATTAAAGGGTTGCGGCATTAGGAAGGTTGAGAACCACTGCTCTAAGCAATAAAGCTTTAATTAAGAACCAGAAAGACTTCAATTAATTAGGGCAGCCTTATGGAAAAGATCATAATGCCCAAAATATTAACTCAGGTCTTCACTGATTTCTTATAGTCAAATGTAACTGAACTCTGTTTCTAGTGAAATCCTAGAATAATTTACAGGCACTAAAAATCTATAATTTATGAATAATGTATTAGAAATTTTTACCTGGCATCCTATAAAAAAGTCTTTTACCATTTCCATCATTAGTCTGCAAGTATCTACTGTCTGAGGACCAGTCCAGATGAGTGATGAAACTAAGTGATCCCACACATTCCCCCATTTTTTTGTAACGCTGAGAAACTCCATAAATATCAACTGAGCTGTCGTTGCATCCAACAGCAAGGTAAGTTCCATCTGGTGAATATTTTAACTCATGAATTGCCTCTTTCCTATCTTTAATATGTACAACTTCCGTCATATCTCTGTAAAGAAAAAAAACATTAAACCATATGAAAAAAGTCACTACAGAATTAGTTCAGTTTCCAAATGTGTGTAAAATGACTGTGAGGCTGTATCAAGTATTCATAACCAATAAAATAAATGTAAATGAGACAAGTAGTATTAAGGAATAATTATTTTGCTGAACAGAAATATATAAGTACAATATAGTTGGAAACAGGTGAAAAATGCTAAATTTCATTTCCTGAATTACTTCAAGCAGTTTAGAGATTCAGATTAACTTTATGGAGCCATACAATAAAGGAAATAAAGTCGCAAAATTTTATGTTGAAAGAGGAGTCAGCATCTCTACAAACTCAAAAGTACGAGAGAACAGGATGTGTCTGAAAAAGTAAAAGATATTTTATACGTGTTCAAAGAAAGAGATTGAGGTAGAAAGAAATAGGCTGGAGAGATGGGCATTTCAGTCTATGTTAACTACGGATTATGAATTTTATCCTAAGGACAGTCCAAAGCTTTTATCATACTTCAGAAAGAGGAGGGATGCAAACAAATGTGTTAGGCATCACTATAGCTGTAGGGTGAAAAAGGTTTTGAGATAAGTAAAACAGGAGGTAAGGAGACCAGCTGAAATACCATTGCACCAAACCAGGGAGGCAAAAGGAAGAAATGAATTAATGGTTTCTGGATTGGGCAACTGGGTGGATGGTCCTCACCAAGACAACAGTGTGGTGAATGCCGGAGGGGAGGTGGGGGAGGAAAGAAGGGGATAAATGATGATGGACAGAGACGTGTACAGAGACGTGATGTGAAATAGAATTGTGCACCTGAAGCCCATATAATTTTGTTAATCAGTGTCACCCCAATAAATTCAATAAAAAGATTTCATAAATACTTATCTATACCTATCTATAATTCAACACTAGATGTTAATTGCTGTAACAAATTCTTCAAAGTAGACCCAAACAAAGGAAAAACAGAAGGAACTTTTTTCAAACAACAAAGCCATTCAGCCATTTTTAAAGGCTCAATGTCCATCCCACCCCCTTCAATGACAGAGGAGCATTACTGAAAATCACTACTACCAAGGAATTAAAAGTCAGGACCCAAATTTAGAGTTCAAATTTTAGCCATTAATCTATTAAGCATTCTTAACCCCCAAACCAAGGTTTCTGAGTTAACTTAATTTTCTGACAAAGCATTTTATAAATATATTTTTATATTTAATGAAACTAATACCGGAAGTATACGTTAATTAAAAAGGAAATGGTAAAACAGTAAGTATTAGAAAATTACTATCTGCTTCTGTTTCTCCCCTAATACCATACCTTACTCTAAGTACAGTGAATGAGCCATCCTTCATTCCAAGGGCAAGATGGATTCCATCTACATTTACAGCTGCACAACGAATTGGTTCTTCCATATTACACCTTGCTATTAATGCATGATCTACTAGGCTCCATATCCTGTAACATTTAATTAAAATATAAGAATAGTTAACTGGTGTATGCTTAAAAAATAGACTCTATGAAAACATTTTGGTTAAAATAATAATCTCATTTTAAGATAAATCTAGATTTTAACTGTATACTTCACGGAATTCTTATCCGTGAAAACAGAAATACTGTTTATGCTTAAAATTACAAGAGGGGATAGAATCTTTTATTTTAAAACAATGTAATGACATTAATTTTTTAAATAGATGATTTCTACCCTGATCAAAGGGGAGATCTAGATATAATATAGTGGTACAGGGCATATACTTTGTATATAGTCTTTCAAATTAAGACTATGCAAACTGAGTCTATTCCAGACTCTAATGTTAAAAATCTACAACAAAAATATAAAAAGAAAATACCCATTGTTTGAAAATTAAGAATTATACTTCCAAATAACCTAAAGGACAAAGACAAAATCCTAATGAAAAGTAGTTACTCTTTTGAAGTAAGTTATTATAAACCTGTTTTATACCAAAACTTATGAGATACAGCTGACACAGTACTTAGGAGGAACTTTGCAGATATTATAAAAACAAAGGCAACAACTTAATGAACAGGCATCTACCCCAAAAGGTTAGGAAAAGATCAGTAAAACTAAGTAGATTCTTAAATGTTTTTCTAGCAGCATCATTTAAAAAAACTATTTTGGCCCTGGCTGGTTTGGCTCAGTGGATGGAGCGTCAGCCTGCGGACTGAAGGGTCCCAGGTTCGATTCCGGTCAAGGGCATGTACCTTGGTTGCGGGCATATCCCCAGTTGGGGGTGTGTAGGAGGCAGCTGATTGATGTTTCTCTCTCATTGATGTTTCTAACTCTCTATCCCTCTCCCTTCCTCTCTGTAAAAAAATCAATAAAATATATTTAAAAAAAACTTCTGTAAATAAATCAATAAAATATATTTAAAAAAAACTATTTTGTGTGTTGCTGTCTTATAGGAAAAATGATTCTGTATATTTTTATATATCCAGGGAAATTTGCTAAATTCTTTTTAATTCCAATAATTTCTATCTTCCTTTCAATTTTCTACATATACAATCATAATACCTACAAACGAGAGTTGTTTCTTCTCTTACAATCCAAATATCTATATCACCCTATACATAAACACATAAATATTATATCATACATATATATTTGGCCCTACTGTGCTGACAAAGACTTTTACTCTACAGCTGAATATAATGGTGAGAGTGGAAATCATTGTCTTCCTGATTTGAAAGGAAAAACTTCAAAGTTTTAATATTAATATCTCATGATAGACATGTGATAATTACTGAAGACCTTCTATGTTCTACCACAGGGATCAGCAAACCAGAGCTGGTGGGTCAAAGGGGGCCCACTGCCTGTTTTTGTACAGTCTGCAAACTAAGAAGTTTTCTTTACATGTTTAAATGGTTGAAAAAAATGAACAGAATAACATTTTGAGACATGAGAAAATCATATGAAATTCAAGTCGAAATCAAATCCGTAAACCAAGTTTGATGGAAACAGCCACATTTGTTTGTTTACATATTGTCTATGGCTGCTTTCACACTACGGAGGCAGTGCTGAGTCACCCTCTGCAAAAGAGACGGCCGACAGTGTGTGACCTATCACTTTGCACGCTCCTTCAGCGCACTAAATTGACACAGTTATAATTTGATAGAATTTTGAGTGCCACCTGTATTATCATATGGTGACAATATATTATGTTTAATTTCTAGTACATACCCATCCATGTCAGAACAAGAAAACAAAACAAAACACAGAAAAGTAAACTTCGAGTACTGCATTTTTAAGGCACATTTTTAAAGCTAATTACAAATTATACTGTTACTGAATTAGTAAAGCATTATGTTTATTTTGCAATGACACAATAGCTTTTTAAAAAGAATACAAATATGTGTTATTTTCAGACTAAGCGCTCATCACAATATGTTCAACTCACAGGAAACCAATGGTCAGAAAATTTAAAACAAAATATCTCATTGCAGCAGAATTTCTTTAAAATTAAAATGAGGTTTCCACAAAAGTAAGTTTCTGAGTGGCTCATTTGTTAGGCAAGCAAAGAAAACTGTTTATTAGTAAAGGATTAACTAAATTATTTTGAATGGCAGCAGCTGAAGAAATGTGTCTGTAGAGAAAAAATAAAAGACTATTAGCTTTTTGGTGAGAACAGTTTGCTCAAGGAGATGATGAGAGTGTTGGGAACAACACCAACAACTAATTAAGAAACAAGGAAAATAATTTTAAGTGGTTGGTTTTCCTTGAATTTTGATAAATCCACAGATGTTATGGATACTACTCAGTTGTTTATTTGAGGTGCCAATGCCAAGTTTGCAGTGATGAACAAATAGCTTCTATGAACAGTCTGTGTGGAACAACTGTAGGCTAGAATATTTTTAAAGGCATTAGTGAGAAAGCACTAATCTGACACCACATAAAGTGGAATCAAATGGTGGTAAAAATATGGGGGGATATGCCTCAGACTAGTTTATAAAGCCTGTGAAAACAGCCAGGTGTTTCTCCAGTAAAATGGGTTTATTTGACTACAAAGAAGAATTGTAACTGGAACATGTTGTCTAATGGTGAACCACACACAGTCCAGAGAAACAAAGGAGAGGAAACTCATTTATAAAGGAGAAGTTGTGGGAGCTGTTATAAAACAGAGCTCTTCCCACCCTGGCACATGTGGCTCAGTTAGTTGGAGCAAGTACTGGTACACCAAAAGGACCCGGGTTTGATTCCCAGATAGGGCACATACCCAAGTTGTGGGTCCATCTGCCTACAGGAGGAAACAGATCGAT